TTGAGCAAGTTTAGTTCCCCCTAAATGTGTGGCTTGATGAGTCTCCCATAATATCTGGGTCCCAAGTACTTCTGGCAGGAGAAAGCGACCATTGGGGAGGATGTGCCATCCTTCAGCATTAACCTGGGATTTCAGGGTTGCTGCTAACTTTATGTCCAAATCAGAATAAACTGGGGGGGGGGGGCCAGCCGAGGTAGGGGAAGGGTAATGATGGCCAACGTAGTTGACCCCACTGATTTTAGCGTGATCTGTTTGGCAGTGGAATCTGCCACTTGGTTCCCTCGGGCTATTGGGTTGTCTTCTTTTTGGTGGGCCTTGTAATGTATCACTGCAAGCCTCTTGGGCTCCCAAATAGACACTAGCAAGTCCAAAATTTTGGAGGCATTTTTGATGGCTTTTCCCTCCAAAGTCAGTAGGCCTCGTTCCTTATAAATGGTCCCGTGGACACGTAGAGTGGCAAAGGCATATCTACTGTCCATGTAGATATTAACAGTCTTGTCCTTTGCCCATTTTAGGGCCAGGGTTAAGGCTGTAAATTCAGCCTTTTGTGCAGAAGTGTGAGTTCCCAGGGGCTCCGCCCAAATCATCTCAGTTTCAGTAGTGACCGCCGCCTCCGATACCTGAGTACCTTTATGGAGATAGCTGCTGCCGTCTGTGAAGAGCGTGGCATCCACTTGGGTCAAAGGCACATCGGTCAGATCTGGCCTGAAGTTAGTGATGGCCTGGAGAACTTCGAGGCATTCATGGGTTGGTCCATCTGGATTATCGTCACGAAGTAACGTGGCAGGGTTGAGGTGGTGGCAGGCAGGAAACGAATTCAGTCAGGATCCAGCAACAAGGCCTGATACTGGATGATTCTGGCATTTGATAACCATCTTTCAGGGGGCTGTTTAAAAGAGGCTCAAGAGAGTAGAGGGTAACCACATAAAGTTGTTGACCAAAAGTCAGGTTGGTTGTTTCCTTGATAAGAGTAGCAGTAGCGGCAAGGGTCTGCAAGCAATTGGGCCACCCAGCAGCTATGCGGTCTAGGTGCTTAGAGAGGTAGGCCACCAGCCGCTTCCAGGGGCCCAGATATTGAGAGAGGACCCCTTTTGCAATCCCTCAGACCTCTGCTACATGGAGCTGAAAGGGCTTGGTTAGGTCCAGCAGGGCCAGAGCTGGGGCCGAGACTAGAGCCACCCGTAATTTGTCAAAGGCCTGTTGTAACTTCTCAGTCCAATCGAGAGGCTCAGTTGTGTCTCCCTTTGTGGCCTCGTACAGAGGTTGGGCCATTTCCATGAACCCCAGAATCCAGAGCCTTCTCCCTCCTGATAGGACTGTGTATTCTGTTTTGGATTTAAAGGATACCTATCAGGAGGGAGAAGGCTGAGGAGGGTGTATGGGTTAAGTATGGTGGGGTGAAGGGTTTCCACCCGTCTGTTTTCCTCTCGGAGATCCTGGACAGGCCAGTAGTCATCGGTGCCAGGCTTTTGGACTGGGAGCAGTGGGGTACTCCAGGGGGACTTGCAAGCAACCAGGATCCCAGAGATCCTCAATCTTGTGATGTGTTTAGCTATGCCCTCCTGAGCCTGTTGACTCAGCGGGTACTGTCAGACTCGCACAGGCACAGCAGTGGGGTTTAGGGCTACCACAATTGGGGGCTGATGGGAAGCCAAGCTGGGAGGATTGTCCTCTGCCCAAACTTCAGGTATTCATAATTTCCACATTTCTAGAAGCAAATTGGGTATCTGTTCTGGGGGCCCTGGGGGTTCTATGGTAAGGATGTCTCCCTCCATAAGAGGACAAGTAAACAAAATAGCAGGGGGCTGAATCCCTTTGGAAAAAGTTACAGTTGGGCCTTCATCTGCAAAAGAGATCTGGGCTTGTAACTTGTGTAAGAGGTCTCTCCCAAGTAGCAGGTAGGGACACTTGGGCACGACCAAAAAGGAGTGGGTCAGGGTTTGTTTTCCCAAATCCGTTATGGTTGCCCGTGACCAGGGGTAGGCCTTAGTTTTACCAGTTGCTCCCTGAATGTTAGTTTTTATAGAAGACAGAGGTCCAACAGGCTTTTGAAGAACAGAGAAAGTGGCACCCGTGTCCAGGAGGAATTGGACCTCTTGGCCCCCCACCGTGAGGGTTACCCAGGGCTCCTTGGGGGCCAGGGGAGCCCTGACTTTTTCAATCTGTTTCTTGTGTGCTCAAGACGGTGGGACCTTTTTCTTTGAGTTTTGGGCAGTCCTTTTTCCAGTGACCCTCTTCCTTGCAATAAGCACATTGATTTTTCCCCAAGGGAGGTCTTTTATCCTTGGTCCCAGTTGTGGACTTGTTTGTCCCTTTTTGGAGCTTTTCTCCCATGGCCAACAGAACCTTTGCCATCCTCTTGTTTAGCTCCCAGGGATTGTCCCAGTTGTTGAAGACCTTTTGAACCACCCCTACCAATTCTGAGAGCGCCTTTCCCTCAAAACCCTTTAACTTTTGTAACTTTCTCCTAATGTCTGGGGCCAATTGGGTGACAAACGCTATGTTAAGAGCTCTCCTGTTTTCTGGTACCTCCAAATCAACTGGGGTGTATATACAATAAGCCTTGGGAGGCGCTCAAGAAATGCTGCCGGGGATTCATCCGGCCCCTGACTAACTTCAGTTACCTTAGACAAATTAGTTGGCTTGCGGGCAGCGGCCTTAATGGCACTGAGAAGAGTCTGGCGATACCGATTGAGAGCCTCCTTACCTGCATATCCGTTGGGGTTCCAATCTGGGAGGGCAGATGGGAAACGCTGTTTTATTAGTCTAGGATTGGTGGCAGGTTGGCCATCAGGTCTGAGAACGGCCTTTCGTCCGTGGGTGTGGACGTGTTCTGGTTCCTCTGACATGAACTGTTGGCAGTCATCCCAGGTGGGGCAGTGGGTGGCAAATATTGACTCAATGAGAGTTATCAAAGCTTGGGGGTCCTTTGAGAAAGGTGAGTACTGATGTTTCCAATTGAACAAATCAGTGGTAGAGAAAGGAACATGAACTAGAAATGGACCTTTCTCCGAGTTGGCTTGGGGTACCTCGCAGAGGGGAAGGAGAGCCGGGGAAGCAGAGGGAGGCAGAGAAGGGTTAGAGGAGTCGGGGGATGGGTTGGAGGCGGAGGGAGCCTCCCCAAAAGGTCGGCCACTCCACGGTGTGTGAGGGGCTGGTAAGGGTGGAGGGACCAGGGGACAGAGAGGAGTCAGGGGAAGGGTAAGGTGGGGGAAGTCGAGGGTAAAGGGTAGGAGAGTCAGGGTGAATCAAGGGTCCTTGGAGGACTGGAGGAGGGGAAGCTGGCTTAGGAGTTCGGCGGGGCTGAGAAAGAAGGACCTTGTGGTGTGGAGAACACTTTTTGACCCATTTTGGGGGGGGGGGGTCCGTGATGAGATCAATCCACACCTGGATGTAGATAATCTGATCAGGGTGTCCTGGATTGCCAAATATGACTTGGCAGACCTGTTGGCAAATAGAAATGTTAAAACTCCCCTCCAGCAGCCAATTAACTTTAAATTTTGGCCACTTAAGTTCACAGAACATTCGGAGTTTGCCAGGGAAGACCGGCTTGCCATAACTGGTGGCCCTCTGTTTAAAATCAGAAAAAGTGGTTTAGAACACATTGAAGCAGCGTAAGCGACGTAGAAGCAGACTGACTCATTCGGACAAACAGAACAAGAACAGACAATGGCAGGACAAATGGAAACCAAAAGTCTCTCTGGCGCTTAAAGGCACATCTGCCATCTGGGAGATCCAAACGGGGCACCCCACAAACAAACAAATCAAACTCTTACCAGTAAGAAGACAAATGGCTCCGAAGTGCCCAATATAAGAAATTTTAGTTTATACCCTCGGCAAGGGATCCCATCAGAGTCAAGGCACATCTTCTCGAGAAGTCCCCTGACAGGTGCTGGCCGAGGGTTAAGTAATGCGGTTGGTTAAGCCCCATAGGGCATCTCGATGGAACCTCCAAATGTTCTGGACTCAGAACTGAACCATGGAACTGATCGACAAATACCAAAGTGCACGGATCGCCAGTTGGAATTGAAAATGAGCCTTTATTAGCTGGCCAGCGACTGACTGAGAGCCTCCACGCAGGGTAGGATCAGATCAGCCCAGAACCAGGGGTGAGAGGACCTTTTAAGCTAAAAGCCACATCCTGTTTGGCAAGCGAAGTCTTTGTGAAACAGTCTTATGAGAAACTACAGAGAACTTACAAAAAAAGAATGGTACATTTCAGGGAATGGCTAGCATGAGGAACTACTTTAACGACGCACGTGGAAAGGGAGAAGGAGGGAGCAATCAGCAATTTTCCATGTCCTTTATGAGGCCATGTCCCTTGTGAGGCCTTCACAGAGACAGGTGGGACAATACACAGGTGAGGGGGAGAAAGGTCCAGAGAAGCACACAGAACTCCAAAAGCCCCAAGGCCGGCCCATTCTGCTCAGTTTAGACCCACCATGCACGCGAGTGTGTGGGGATTGCTACAAATCTCGGGAAGACCTGACAGTATCTTAAAAGTTTCCTTTCCTCCAAGTTATTCAATCTCTCTTCCTTTACATCTGGATTTTATCCCTATGGTTAACTTTAAAGAACTCAAGGTTTAAACATGACCAGACATGTGTTTGACAAAGATCATTCCAGGCCAATGTAGGTGCAGACATGGGACAAGAGGAAAGGTTACGGTTATCCAGACCCGAAGTTGTGAGATCCTTAAGACCATGGCAGAAAGATGAAGAGAAGGAATCAATAAAAGAAAAATCGACAGAATTAGTTGGATTTGCTAAGTGGATAGACGTGGTGGGTAGAGTGAAGGTGCCAACACAGCATTCCAAGTCTAGCTCAGGCAAAAGAAAAAGCAGTGAAGAGAAGGTTAAGGCCAAAGCCCACGTGTGTGCCGGACACCCCCGCCCTGGTGCAGGAGAGGGGAAGGAGACAGCAGGCGCCGCTGAGCTTTCTTCTCGGCAGGCGCGGACAGGCTGCAGCCGCCGCAGGAGTTGGGCTCTCTTTCGCCTTACCTTCTAGTAGGATGACAATGAATAGATGGGCAAAATCCGCACGGTTAGATCCAGGCGAGAAGACTAATCGCTGAGCGAACGGCAAGCAGCCTCCACCGCGCCGCGGGCGGAAACCTAGGGCTGGCGGGGGCGGGGCCGGGGGTGGGCTCCTCGGGCAAGGAGTTGGGGCTGGCGGGGGGCGGGGGCTCCTCGGGCAGGGAGACTGGAGGCAAGGTTTCTCGGCCAGGCATGCAGAGCCGTCAGCCGTCCTTGGCTGCCGTCCACTGCTACCGCTCCGGAGCGCCAGCTCCTCACCTGTAGCTGGTCAGGGTCACAGTACCAAGATCACTTCGCAAGGTGGAGGGAACCAACTCGCGCTTCTAGCCCACGGACCAATCGCAGAGCAATTCGTTACGATTGACAGGCAATGTGGACCAACCACGAGTTTATGGGTGGGACTCGGAGAGCCCAAACCCTGAGCCCGCGCAAACGGTTACTAGGGACGCACCGGACGCCCCCTACGGCGCCTCAGAAGAGTCATAAAATATCCGCGCCTCTGCACCCCGCCCCCCCCCCCACAACCAGTCCAGGGGACTCAGTTTCCTCCCGCCGAGGGATAGACGGTGATCGGCGCGCAGCTCCAAAAACAAAAAACAATGCCCGCCGTGGGCTGAGAGGGACGAGCGAGCGCCCCGGGGCCAGCCCGCTCTGAAGGCGGCCCTTCTCACGGGTAAATCCGCGCGCGGGGGCCGGGAAAAGTGGACGCTCTGGACGCCCGGCGGCCCATCATGCACACAGAGCAGCGAGATTCCCGAGGTCGGAGATGCACGTGCAACTGACTGCAGCTGTAGCGCGTAGAGAGATCGCCCGGCTGCGACCTCTCCACACTCCGATGCAGGGCCAGAACAGACGCGAACCCGCGAGCCCAGAGCTTCTCCCATACTGCGGGACCCTGCCAGTCCTGGGAACACCTGCCGGGGGCGGGGTAGGGCAGGCGGGGCGGGACCGGGCCTCTCGGAGAACTACGACTCCCGTGAGGCGCTGCTTCTGCACAGGAGAGTAGCCCGAGCCTCTGAGCCGGGCCCCATTGGCTGACTGGCTCGGAGTCGGGAACTCCGATTGGCCGAGGGCCCTGAGGCGACAGATTCCGGAAAGGGGAAGAGCAGCCAATATGGCGGCGGAGCGCGGCGCGGGGCAGCAACAGTCGCAGGAGATGATGGAGGGTGAGCTACCCCTGCGGGCGTCCGGGGACGGCGGGTGGGGGAAGCGGGCGGGCACGACCCCTTGCTCGGGAGGACCTTAGCATCCCGCCTCCGACCACGGCGGCCGAGCCCTGACAGCTGCCCTCCGGGCTCGGCTGGGCGGGGGCGGTTCAGACCGGGGACCTCGCCCCGAGGGCGGCAGCTACCAGGCGACTGGCGTCGAGGAGAGGGGAGGGCGCTGCTCCGGCCGGCGGGGGCGGGGGCCGACGGGGACGTGGCGCGGCGGGAGCCTCCCCAGAACGCCGGAGATTGACAGGTGGGGAGGGGCGGCCCTCTGTCAGCTCGCGGGGAAACTGAGGCTGCTGGCGCAGAGACCTGCAGAGGCTGCTGCTTATTCGTGTGGCGGGGGCGGAGAAGGATCCTCTGTGGGGAGCGAATGGGTTGTGGCGCAGGGATGGCAAGGAGCTCCGGAGATCGAGTTATACAAGGCCGTCCCTGATTGCCGGGTTACAGTCCCAAAAAGACTCCGTTCAACTGACTGACTTCTCTGCCACTTGACGGAATTATTACATTATTATGTACTTGCATGTATGGGTGTGTATTATACATACATGTAAGCATATTTACATATATGCATGTTTATTGCGTGCATGTAAAGACCCACGCGTACACATACTTGTCCCCAGTGGGAGTCAGTCATGTCTTTGTGCACTTAAATGTTTGTGGCTCCAGCGGTTGAGTGAGTGGAACAGTCCTCCAGAATAGCAATCACTGTCTCCTGTGAAGAATTCTGGGGAAGAAGGATATGGAGCTAAGCGAGAGGGTGCAGAAGCAATGGCTAGGTGCCTTGAGGTGGTGCTACTGGCTCTGTGCTGGCCCTTGATGAATCAGTAGCTGTCAGCCAAGTTGGGGATAGGTAGGGTGGGCGGAGCGGTGGGTGTAATCAAATATCATTGCAGATAAAGGAAACCCAGTCACAGGCGAAGGGTTTGAAGGAGAGTTTTCCAAGAGTGATGGTCATATATGAGTGGCCAGTGAGGCTTACCAGTGGCCAGGGAGGGCCTGGCAGGGAGCATCACACCTAAGGGTCCTAGACTTTGATATCCTTGCGTCTTTTTAAGCAAGAAAATACCTCTTCCTATCCCCATCTTCCTGCAGGCCCCAGCACAATCCTCCCCCAGCTGTTTCCATTTCTTGATAAAGGGAAAACAGAAAACTGGGCTTCTCTCTCTTCACTCCCACACATGTCTTTACCAGATCTGACACTTCTACTGTTTCAGTAGCTCCAAACCTTCAACACCACTTTGGTCCCCACTGCCAATACCTTAACTCAGACATTCCCTCTTCGGTGGTAACTTTATTTCCCCTCTTTGCGAGCCCATCATACCCAGAGCTCCACAGACACCTTGCGTGCTTATTGGCCAGCAGTCCTCTGATCTGGACCCTGTGCAGGCCTCAGGATAGAGGTGCAGATTGTCTCCGGCTGCTCATCCTCCCCCTCCTATGGAGTGCTCAGGCCCAGACCCAGAACCTGTGCTCCCTAAAGCTGCATGATAGAGAAGCCTGTGCCTGGTGTTAACTCATTTACTAAGTTCTCCTGTGTGTCATGCACACACTGACTGCTCCTGTGTCTTTTCTGACTTAACCCTGACGGTAGCTTTCTGAGGTGTGGGCACTACTAGTGCCTTTCTACAGATAAGAACACTGAGGCTTGGAAAAGAAAGTTATTTGCCAGAGCTGTGTCTCTAGAGGTGAGACGCAAACTCAGAAGAGCCATTGGCATTTCAGAAATATTTTTGGAAACACAGATCAGATTTAGCTTTAGAATCAAATCAAATTCTCTGGTGCTGAGAGAATAAATTAAACAGGGCAAGAGACCACAGAGAGGCCAGTGAACGGGCAAGGCAGGAATATAGGCTTCAGGTCGTAAGTAGCCAGGCCAGGTCAGGAAAGAAGGGATAGATTTCAAGATTTTGGAGGTGGGTTTTAGAAGTACTTGTTTTACCCAGCAGTTCTTTCCTGGGTGTGCTTTGTAGGTACAACAAGAAACACAAAGACATGTGGAATTTTTTCCCCTCAAAGGGTGCACCTCCTTGCAGCTTAGCCAAAATCTAGAAGGAAAATGCTTCCATGGTGGTTGATAATTCTAAGTAATGTGCTAGCATCTCCAGCCCTCCAGACAGACTTCCAAAGAAGTCACAAAAAAATTACGAAAAAGGATAATTACTTTATAGCCTTGCCAGAGAATTTTTACGTGCCTCCCACATTTAGATTGCCTTATGCATTAACTCAAATATTTCTTTACCAGCCTTTGAAAGCTTGGATTTATAACATTGTGTCCAGTGACCTTTGAGATCAGTAACTTTCATGAGGGGCATTGGCAGTCTTGGCACATTCTTCTTTTTCATTAAGCTCCCTCCTGCCCACAGTCTGATTTGAGTTAGTCTTGATTTCTTTCAGAACATGGGCCTGTGAACTTGGCTGGTTTTCTTGGCCAAATGGATAGTGGAGCGTGGATGAAGGTATGTGTCGGGAAGATCACTGTGCCCCTTCTGAGGCAGATGTCAGGCCAAACTTGTGCACCATCCAGGAGGCTCCACACCACGTGGTGCCCCCTAAGACCTGTGATCACAGAACATCCCAGGGCTTTTAGAATATCTGGCAGTTCTCCACCAACCCGCTGAGGATGGGGACAGTGTGTCACTCACCCAAATGTCCACGCAGCCAATGTACCACGTGCCCAGGTACCCCTGCCACTCTGTGCTTCAGGTGGTGCCGGGACGCAAGAGACTCAGATGTTCATGTACTGAATCTGCCCACCATTTCTAAGCAAAGTCTTGCTGACTCACAGCTGTGCGTTAGCCTGTTGTGTGCTCCTCAGAGAGTCACACAGAGGAGACGGCATTCTTACTGACGTGTGGGTTCAGTTGACAGGCGAGTCGAGTCTGAAGAGTCGGGCGACGAGGAGGGGAAGAAGCACACCAGTGGCATCGTGGCAGACCTCAGTGAGCAGAGCCTGAAGGATGGCGTGGAGCGGGGTGAGGAGGACCCAGAAGGTACCGGGCCTGTTGAGAGCCTTCGCCCCACCCAGAGGGTAGCGTGCCAGGCAGGGGCAACGGGGGCTGTGTCCATTCTGGAAAGGGCCACCTTGCTCCTCAGAGGCCCTCAGTGGGCTGAGGCAGGGGGCGTGCTCTCCAGATGCAACCTCCTCCTAGGGGGCTCCCCACTGATGTGCTTACAGCACTTGCTGGGGCGGTGCAGTTTTGCCCAGTTCCGCTGAAGGCGAGTAGCACTGCTGGTTGCATTGGCACAAGTGTGTCATCTGTGATAGAACCAGGAAAGGGGTCTTCAGCCTTGTGTTTGGAAAGAGTTGAAATTTAAAAGGGAAGCCAATGACCCTGCCTTTGCGTGCAGTCGCACTGGGAGTGATGCTCAGTGACTTCCAGCAGTCACATCTAACCCTGCTTTGCCATTCTATGGCCGGAGGATCAACTTTTCAAGTATCATTCAGGGTCATTTTATGTAGAAATATCCAACCGGCTTCCTGTGGTAGTGTCTCATCCTCCCCGTTCATGACTCACACCTTTTTGTTTGTTTGCTTAGAAAGTCAGTTTTTAAGCTAGGCAGGTGCCTATAAGCTCCGCATTCTGAGAGGCAGAGGTGGAAGGATTATAAATTTATACCCAGCTAAGGGGAAAAATTTACATGAAAAGAATGAGAGGATCATATGAACATAAAAAGATATCCAAGAAAGATTATGAGGGTTTTTTTTAAAAAAGCAAGTTTCTAAACAGTGTTCACATTAAAATCTTATTTTTAGTTAAGAAAATATGAATATGTAGTTTTAACACCCTAAAAGAAGCTAGGCACAATGATGTATGCTTTAATTCCAGCTACTCAGGAGGCTGAGGCAGGAGAATCACAACGTGGGCGATTTAATGAGACCCTGTCTCAAAATTGAAAAAGGGAGAGCCGGGTGTGGTGGCTCATGCCTGTAATCCCAGCACTCAGGAGGCTGAGGCAGGAGGAGCACTGCGAGTTCGAGGCCAGCCTAGGCTACAAAGTGAGCTCAAGGCCAGCCTGAACTGCATAGTGAGACCTTGTCTCAAAAAGACAAAAAAAAAAAAAAATTTAAAAAGGACTAGGAACATAGCTTAGTCGTAGAGCACTAGCTCAGCAGCCTCGAGTGCAGGAAGCCCTGGGCTCAGTCTTTAGTACCACACCAGAAGAAAGAAAGTCAGCATTACTGAGGGTCTCTGAAGAGCAGGCTCAAGAGACACCTCTGCTTTCTGCATTTTCCACATTTGTAGACAGTGTATGAATATTTCAGATATTTGTAATTGTGCATTACTCTTATAAAAATAAGTTCATAAAAAAAGCTAATTTTTAAAATAGCACTGTGCCTTCTGTGCCAGCAAGGACTACTGGTAACTATGGCAACCAAATTTTAAAGCAAAAGAAGCAAAGAAGCGCCCTTCACATTTAGTTTGGAACTTCAGAGTTGGTGTTCTGGAAGTGCCGGGAGTGGGTGAGGGCATGGGCGCTGGCGTCCTCTGACGCAGTCACAGGAAGGCTCGGATTTTTGCTGTGAGGTTGTGAGACTTCAGGCACCCAGGGTACCCCGGGACTTGGAGGCCAGGCTCAGGGCTTCTGTCCCCTGGCTGGTTGCATCACCCTGGAGCACTGCTGCACGTAGATGAGGGAAGAGCTTTTCCATGCCTGCTGCAGGGCAGCCCTTCTGGCCCAGTCCAGCTTGTCTGGATCCATAGGTTTTCGGGGGAACTCACATTTCTGATGTCTGAGAAACTGGGACTGGCTCCTACCAGCACTTACTTACATTTTATCTTTTTCTTCTTCTTTTTTTTTTTTTTTTTTTTTTTGGTCTTTTTGAGACAGGGTTTCTCTATGCAGTTCAGGCTGGCCTTGAACTCACTTTGTACCCCAAGCTGGTCTCAAACTAACAGCAATCCTCTTGCCTCAGCCTCCCCCCACCACCAGTGCTGTGATTACAGAGGTGCGTCACCAGACCCGGCCCACTTAATCTTTAAACAAAACAAACACATTTACTGTTATCCTGTACTTATTTCCTCTAATTCATTTTTAAAATATGGTCATGGTGCATTTGGAAGGTTGTTCTAGGCGGGTACATTTCCTCTAGGTTACACTGGCATCTCAGGAAGGAGACAGGCCAGCCTTGCAAGGTGACTGCAGGTAGCAGCCCCTGACCGTGGGGCATGTGTCCTGAGGAGCCAGGTTAGCCCTGGTCCCACCTCTGGCTGGTGCCTCTGTCTGTGGTGTCTCCTTTTAGTTTCTCGATGTCCTGGTTGGGCACCATATGGCCACGCACCCTGACTTAATTGCAGGGTCTCTCACCACAGCTTCCTGAGCTCCAGGACAGTGAGTCAGTGCTGGGGGCAGGGGACCTGTCTTTCAGTTTTTCCCAGTTTTTTTTTTTGTTCAAGTCTTAGGTCAGTTGGTACCCTATAAAGTTACAGGTAAACTGTAACTATTTTTTTCAAGTGCCCCCTGTTCATCATTATAGAAAAGGCATTGTGAAAAGACAGTGAAGTGATTGGCCAAGCAGGGCCACACTTCTTGGTTAAGCTGGTCCCGTGTGGAATGTCTGAGGCTGCCAGCTGAGGAGCAGCTGCCAGTGCATACTCTGCTTATCACTGGGGGCCCTGTGGGACAGACACAGAAGAAAGAGCCCCAGTAAAATTCTAACAGTGACAATCAGCTTACAAGAAATGCAGAAGGGAGAGCATCCTGGGAACAATTCAGGACCCAGAATTGAGAAGCACCATAAGACAGGCAACCGACTTTCTGCCAACAAAAAGTTGCAAGGGAAAAAAGGGTCCTAAAAAATACTGTGCAGAGCCAAGCAGGGTGGCCTATAATCCTAGCATTCAGGAGAGTGAGGCAGGAGGATTGCTTCAATTTTGAGACAACCCTGAGCTATGTAGTGAGTTCGGGGCTAGTCTGAACTACGTGGTGAGACTCTGTCTCAAAAAAAGAAATAAAAAAGAAAAATAACATCCAGTCACAGTAATAACCTTATTTGGATCTTACCTCATACAAACAAGAAAAAAAGTAGAAGACTCTTGGGAAATGTGAGCAATGGCTCGATATTTGTTGATATGGAGAAAATACTCTCTTAAAGTATGGTAAGGGCGTGTGCACACACTGGTGTGTGTGCACATACATGTGTACTGTGCTTGTGTACATGCATGTGTCTGTCTGTTCCTTGAAGGTAAGTAGGCTCTGGTGAAATGAGAGGGAGGGGCTGCTGGTGAGACGCTGTGAGCCCCTCTGCTGGAAGCAGCCACTCTGAGGGGAGAGTGCTGTGGAGTCGCAGTAGGCCTGTCCACTGAAACTAGTTCACCAGTCTCCCAGTTGAGGAACATGCTTTAATTATTCATCGAGGCTCTTTGATCTTATCTGTTGAGCTGTGCTTCATTTTATTTTGGTTTTTTTGCAGAGAAAAGCATCTGTAGATGCTGGGCCACTTTCCAAAGCAGTAAAAGGCACATCCTAGAACATGTGATGTGCCCAGCATGATCTGTGTTCAGACGGCCTGGTTGTATTGCCACAGACAAGAAGGGGAGTTGGGGGAGGCAGCAGTCTCGAAGCAGTACTTCCCAGCAGGGACTGGGCTCGCCACGCAGAGCCAGCCTCCTTGCCCTCCTTTCTGCCAGCAGCTTCAAGTTGTACCTCCCTTCTAGTGAAGCTCAGAGGCACAGGTGGAAGTTTAGAAACATTTGCCAGTAGCTGAATTCAGGAAGCTCAGAGTACTCGAAGCATCACCTTTGTCGAGTCATGCTGGGTGGGCGCTTCCTGCCAAATCTGACCTGGGTCCACTGCCTCCTGTTGGGAGTCCTGAATGAGCTTTCTTCCTCGTCCCTTTTTCAGAGGAACATGAGCTGGCTGTAGACATGGAAACCATCAGCCTGGACCGAGATGCGGAGGTAATGCTTCCTGTTCTGCCCAGCTCAGGGTGCGCGGTGATGGGCCACCTCATTATCAGGTTATCTTTTATGAAGGTGACAGATTAGTGATTTCCCTAGAGAGGTTGCCTACGCTTCCCTTGGTTGGGTCAGTCTCAGTGTTCTTCCTGTTTTAATCCCAGTAATTGAAATTCCATGGGAAAAAAAAAAGAAAAAAAAAATTCCATGGGAAATGGAAGCCAAGTGCAATACCTTTGGCTCATAAATCACGTACATGGGTCCGTATCACATTGTCTGTCCTAGGCCTTCCTATTTCCAACCCCCAAAGAGTCACACATGTATGCAGCTAGTGCTTGGGGGCTGGACAGGGCCTGACTGGGATCTTCTCCTAAGCCCACAGGAATGATGATCATGTAACAGTTCCTGTCCATGGAGCTGGGCTTTCTTTTGTGCTTAGGGAGTGGCAGGCAAGAGAAAGCTGTCACAGTCATTTATACAAAATGAATACAAGTCACAACTAAGGGCTGGGGATATAGCTCAGTGGCACAAGCACCTGTCTGGCAAGTACAAGGTCCTGAGTTCGATTCCCAGTACAAAAAAAAAAAAAAAAAAAAAATAAGATTACCTGCCTGACAAGTCACAGCTAAACCAAAGAGCTCCCGCCAGCTCTCGCTGCAACACCAACACTTCTTGTCAGGGTGTGATGTGGCTGAAGCTCATGTCCTCTCCCACCCTCCCCTCCACTGCCATAGTCCTCCTCCACGGCTCATGCTCCAGGAAACAGACCTTAGCACTTGTTTCCTCTGGGTTTCAGGATGTGGATCTGAATCACTATCGAATTGGGAAAATCGAAGGCTTTGAGGTGCTGAAGAAAGTGAAGGTGAGAGGGATTCTTTCCTTGCGTACAAGGTGACTTAAGAGGTTATACACAGCCCTTGTCCCTGTCCTGTGCAAGGCGCCTACCTGTGGGGGACCCTGCCATGCATCTCTGTGTCTGGATGTGGTGGAGGCGTGGCAGCACTTGAGCTCACAAGGCCCCTGGAGCTCGGCCAGCCTCACGGCCAAGTACCAGGGTGACACGTGACAGGGTATGTGGTGCTCACTCCTGCAGCTGGGTTTGCTTCTCAGTGTAGAATCCATGGCAGTTCTTGGGTTCTGCCAACTTGTGGCCCCCCCAGCCTGGTCCAGCTCCTTCCTGCCCTCATGGGTTCTCCCTGCAGGCCTGTGCCTGTTCTCAGGTGGGACAGGGTGGCGGTAGCTGTGTGCCTTTGCCCATGCCTCTCAAAAGCCAGTGCCATTAAGAACCTGGGAGGATGGGGACTTCCTCCCCATGGAAGGAAGCCCTGTCTCCCTCCCTTGCCCGTGGCAACCATCCTCTTCCCATCCCCAGACTCTCTGCCTCCGTCAGAACTTAATTAAGTGCATTGAGAACCTAGAGGAGCTGCAGAGCCTCCGTGAGCTGGATCTCTACGATAACCAGATCAAAAAGATTGAAAACCTGGAGGCACTGACTGAGTTGGAGTGAGTGGGGGACCAGAGAAGACAACTGGGCGGCGGGTGGCCAGGCTCCCTGAAGCCCTCCTTTTTTTTTTGTTTTGTTTTTTGTTTTTTGTTTTCTCCGGTACCGGGAATCGAACTCATGACGTTGCGCTTGCTAGGCAGGTGCTGTGCTGCTGAGCTAAATCCCCAGCCCCTCTGAAGCCCTCCTTCTGGCTCTGGCCATCCTGAGGCTGACCCTGCCCCAGATCCAGTACCACCCCTAGCTGTCACAGGGCACAGCAGCTTCACACGTGCCATCAAGTTGCTGGACAGCCTTGCTTGGAAGGCTGAAGCAGGGCTTCCAGCTAGATTCTGTTCTGGGTGGTAGCAAAATCAGGGAGAAGCCAGTTGTGGTGGCACATTCTTATAATCCCAGCTACTCAGAAGGCTAAGGCAGGAGCATTGCAAGTTCAAATCCTGAGCAATTTAACCAGCCCCTATTGAAAAAAAAAATTTTACCAGGACTAAGGGCAGTCATGGTGGTATATCCCTAATCTCTGTACTCTGTACTCTGGAAGACTGAGGCAGAAGGATCACAAATTCAAGCCTAGCCTGGACAACTTTTGATTTAGTGTCTCAAATTACAAAATAAATAAAAAGCTGGCCGTGTAGCTCAGTGTGAAAGCTCTGGGTTCAATTTGCAGTTCTGGCCAGGGATATAGCTCAGCAGCTTAAGTGCTTGCCTGGCAAGCCTGAGGTCATGAGTTTGATTCCCAATACCAAAAAAAGAAAAAAAAATTTGCAGTTCTGCAAAAAAGAAAAAGACTTAAGGGTTGAAATTGTGGAATGCTTCCCCAATATGTGTGAGGCTCTGGGTTCAGTCCCCAGTACTGCCAAAAAGAAGAAAAGATAATTTGGATTAATGTTCCTCTTTTCTTGATTTTTTTTTTCCCCAGTACTATACTAGGGATGAACCCAGGGCCTCACACATGCTGGGCAAATGCTCTGCCACTAAGCTGCAGCCCATTCCTTTTTTTTTTGGTCTTTTTGAGACAGGATCTCACTCTGCAGTTCAGGCTGGCCTTGACCTCACTTTGTAGCCGAGGCTGGCTTCAAAACTCGCAACAGTACTCCTGCCTCAGCCTCCCAAGTGCTGGGATTACAGGCGTGCACCACCACGCCTGGCTTCACTCCTCTTTTTTTACATAGCATCTCTCAAAGTTGTCCGGGCTAGCCTCAGACTTGTAGTCCTGCTGCCTTAGCACCTGGAGTAGCTGGGATCACAGGTGTGTGCCATCACACCCTGCTGTTTTGTGGTTAATTCAGCACATCTCAGATGCCTCCTGTGTCCTGGTTCTAGGTCCTGCCACGGACACAGGCATGAACAAAACCTGGCTTCTGTTCCAAATACAGCCCTGGGAGTCTGCATGCTGCCCCAGGACTCTCCTGGCTCCCAGCAGAGTCACGTCCCCCCCCCCCCCGACAGCGTGGGTGTGAGCTGGTGGGGACAGAATATGGTCAGATCCCACCCCACAGTGACCACAGCTTCCTAGAAGGGAGGCTGCCTCTCAGCTAGTTAAATTCTGGCACCTCTGCAATTCGTGTCCATTTTTTAAGAAGTGTTTTGCTTGTTCCTAGGGTTCTAGATATATCTTTTAATCTGCTGAGAAACATCGAAGGGATCGACAAATTGACCCAACTTAAAAAACTCTTCTTGGTCAACAATAAAATCAGTAAAATTGAGAACCTAAGTAACTTGAATCAGCTGCAGATGCTGGAGCTGGGATCCAACCGCATCCGGGTAGGTGCGAGGGCACCAGGCTGTGATCAGTAGCCATGTGCATAGGATGTGTGCCTGGCTGGTTTTTCTCATGATGCCGTGGTGTTTCAGGAACAAGATTATTCTTAAGGAAAAATGTTACCCAGAAGTCGGTGTCAAGAGTGTGTGCCCCTTAGCGAGGTCTGGCCTGTGCGCCACACATAGAGTCCTGTTGCTTTCCATCCCAGCCCTGCCCCAGCCTCCGGCCTTCCCCAGCTATGCTCTGCTGTGGTGAGCCTGCCAGCCCGGCACTGTGCCTCCAACTTCAGAGAAGCAAGATCCAGTCCGTCACTGCCAGACAAAGCAGAGGGAAGTCCTCACAGGCAGAAATGACTCTCGGCCAGAAGACCCTGCACACCCACATCTGACCTCGCTGTGGTCACTGTGCTGATGTGCTCCCCGGCCTTGCTTAGCACCTGGGGCAGGTGTTTGTGAGCCCACGTACCCTCCATTTGGGGTCCAGAGCATAGCACATCGAGCCAGTCCTGCTGGGCCCAGCAGAGTCTCTCGAAGCTCATTATTGGAGATCTCACAGCCACAAACAGTGAAGCAGCACACTCACAACGAGAGGGAGCCCAACATCCGCCTCACCAAGTTTTTCACTGCAGAGTTTCTCACTGCAGGAGGTTCATCGCACCTGAGCACAGCTCTGGCTCCAAGGGGTGCCCAGTCCTGTCACAGTGGGTGGGATGAGCCATACTCCCCTCGCTGGCCAGCCTGCTGATTGTGAGCACCCTGGTCCAGTGATCTTGTCTGTGAAGCATCAGCTTCCTCTGAGAGCAGGAGGGAAACAGGCCAAGTCAACACACCATGACTGACCAGCCATGGGGAAGGCAATGAGGAGGTCAGATAGAGGCCACCACGATGGCAGTGAGGAGAAGCCACGGGGTGAGCGCACCGCCCAGGGTCCTCGGGCTTCCAGGTCACACAGACCTGGCAGGGCTCCTGGCATCCCACTCTCCAGAGGCCTCAGCTGTGGTCAGTGCAGTTTTGGACACTGGAGGGTAGTACAGATGTGCCACCTCAGGAAGGGATGTGGGAGATCTGCTGGTCTGGGGATTTTCAGACCCTGTTCCCCAGAACCCCAGAGCCTAGAGAACTGGAAGGAACCTGGGTGGCTGGACCTTGAGCTTCCACCAGCTTCCTGTCTTCCATATTATACTTCCAAGTGGGATAGCATTGGAAATGCCCAGAGCCGGTCAGAAAGTTGCCCAGGATCCCAGAGGTCAAGTCCAGATGGCTCCTGGCCTAGGGCCCTGCCTGTGCCTGGCTCAGCCACTGGCCACTGTCCTGACGGTTCTTCCGTCCTTTTCACAGGCAATTGAAAACATCGACACTTTAACCAACCTTGAGAGTTTGTTTTTGGGGAAAAACAAAATTACTAAGCTTCAGAACCTGGATGCCCTCACCAACCTGACAGTACTCAGTATGCAGGTATGGACCTCCCAGCCCCCTGCCCCAAAGCCATAACCATAGTCGGAAGCCACCATACCTAACCACAGTCCTCTTCCCACACCGCATCCCTGGGGGCCATGTTGTCTCACTGTCAGTAAGGGAATCCACACAATATGCACAACCAAAATGCCATTCTTTCTTATGTAACTTTTTACAATTTTTTTTCTTTAAATTTCATTGTTTTGGGTCATGTTCCTTTTCCCTCTGAGAGGTGGGTTATTGGGTGGGTTTCGGCCACGAACCCTCAGAAGGGCAAGCTTGCCTGGTCCTCCTGTCCACTGCAGTCCACAGGCGCTGGGTGTACTGGGTGCTTAGGCTCACGTTCTCCTCTTATGTTAGAAGTAAACTAGTGGGATCAGACCTCTGAGGGGACATGTGATATTGCCCTGGGATGTGGCAAGTCCTGCCAGCCACCTGTAAGACCAGTATGCACCGTGTGAAGCAGATGTTTCACAGAATGGTTTGAAAAAGAAGTTCATAAGAGCTAATTTAAGATGCAATGTATCCTACAAAAATGAGAATTTATTTCAAAATATTCAGTAATTTTAACATTTTAGAATTGTTCAATTAAGCCAGGCATGGTGGTGCACACCTGTAATCCCAGCACTCAGGAGGCTGAGACAGGAAGATCACCGTGAGTTTAAGCCCAGCCTAAGCTACATAGTTCAAGGCCAGCCTGAGCTGCATAGCAAGACCTTGTCTCAGAGAAACAAAAACAGTGCGTGGATTACTCCCGGTAGAGGAGACTTGGGAGTTCGACCCCCTTTTTTGCACACACCCTGCTCTGGTAGGTTCTAGATGAAAGCCCTTTCTCAGGGTCCTTCAGGGTAGTTAGAAACCCCAGCTCCCACATTCCCTCTGTTCCTCCCTTTGTGCGGCTCTGACATGTGGCTCCCTTCTTGCAGAGCAACCGGCTGACAAAGATCGAGGGTCTGCAGAGCCTGGTGAACCTGCGGGAGCTGTACCTCAGCCACAATGGCATCGAGGTCATCGAGGGCCTGGAGAACAATGTAAGACTCTGCGGGCAGCAAGGGTGCCGGGCCGTGGGCAAGAGAGCAGGCTCCCCCCAGGGCTGGCCTTAAGTAGATCCCTGCCCCAGGGGTGTGTCCTGGGGGCAGTGAGGGGTGCCTGCGGGATACCAGCTATGGTCCGTGGGTGCCCTCCTGGGCAGGGTGCTATACTTACTCATCGTGTGCTGCTGGCCTCCTGGAAGGTTTAGGCAACCCTGCCTGCCCTGTACAAGGCTGGCTGGCCTCCTGGCTGCCCCACTTCCCAGGTACTGCGCTTCCTGCCCTGCTCCTCAGCGCCTTTTCCTTGAGCTTGGAGGCCTCGTCTGCCTCCTGCTGCCAGAGCCAGTGCTCAGGAAGAACTTCCACTCTGGCCGGGCCCAGGGCCCCGGGCCCCGTCCCGCAGCAGCTTTCACCTCAGCCTGCCTGTACTCAGTGTAGGGTTTAAGATGAATAAAGTACTTTTTCTCCTTCACTCTTACTGGGTTTTTTTTCCTCTCTGTTTTGTTTGGTGGCCAGCGAAGGTAACCAGATGGGTCACTTTTGTTACCATGGACAAAGCATTTCAGTCGCAGTTCTGGCTCCTTTGGCCTTTGTGCCTCAGCCCCGGGCCTGGTTGCCATTACTGATGGTGTTCTGGAAGAGGCACCACCATCTGAATTTCATTTCACCAACATCTATGGAAAATTAGGAGAAAGATTTGCATGTGGGAAATTTGCTCACTTTGCTCTAACCTTACAGGTGAATTAAGAGTTTACAAAACCAGTGTGCTGGCCAGGTGTTCACCTCTGGTGCAGAATGAGTTGCGCCCCTGGCAGCTGTTGCTAGAGCGTAGTGCCGTGCTGGAGGCACCATGGGGCTGGCAGGGTGCACAGACGGCCCCTCCCCAGGAGCCCATACCCCTGGGAGGCAGGAACCCGCAGCGGGCCGAGCACACGGAGCAGGCCCCCGGGCAAAGGAGAGGAGCCGCAGCACAGAATCTGCTAGTAGGAGTGCTGCACCACCATCGTGGTTAAACACCAGGTCATTCCTGGGCCTCTGAGATGAAACAGAAAAAAAAAAATTATATTAGACATAATTATGTGTTGTAATATTCAGATATGACCATGTTTTCTCTGGAGTTTTTTCCTACCAGAAATCAAATATTTATCTCACTTTCTTCCAAGTCTTATTTCTTGATTGAGAATTTATTTTTGTGGTGGGAGGTAAGGAAGTAATGTCCCTTTTCCCACATGGCAAGTGCAGTGTCCCAGCCCCTCTTCCCAGGAGGCACCTCCCCAGGTTCCATGACATCCATCCTGTGACATCTGTCCTGTGCGGAGCTGGCTGCCCTGGCTCCCCTCCCAAGGGTGTAAAACACGCTCTGGCCCCAGCCTGTGTTACTTGGTGGCACAGGACGCCCATCCTGCCCTGTTCCTTTTCCTTTCATTTTTTTAGGTAGTTTACTGGTTTGCTTTCAGATGAGCTTTCACATAGGTCTAGCTCCTCCTAAAAGCCACAAAGGGAGTCCCGGTTGTCTTGAGTCCCTGGGCTGGGAGGTCAAGGTGCAGGCCTGACTGCCAACCTGCGCCCAGTGCTGCAGCTGCTCCTTGCATCTCACAGGGCTCCAGTCTGCCTTGTTTGCAGAGCATGCTTACCTCACCCACCTCCATCCTGCACAGACGGGGACCTTCACAGGACAGGTACAGAGTGTGGGGAAGCAGCCCTGCTGCCACACTGTGTGTCCTTGGGCTCCCCACGGTCCCCTCCTCTGCAGTTCTCAAGGCCTTTGGGCTTTGAGGCCCCTGAACTGCAGGCGCCCTCGGGCATCGCTTGTCTGAGTGGATGTGGCGAGCAGTGAGATAGGATGGCTTGAAGGACCCAGCACAGTGTGCCCGTACCCTGCCTCACCAGACACATCAGGATACCCATATAGTTTTCCCGGCCGTCGCGGCCTCGCACCTGCAGCCGTCTGTGTCCCGGTCAGTGCCATAACACCTGTGCCTGTGCTCGGTGCGGTGTGGGTGTGGAGGCCGTGAGCACAGAGCTGAGTCCTGGAGCCCTTGACTGGGCGTCCTGTGTGTCTGTGGGCTTCATGTATATTTTGCTGGGACTGTGCACTGTCCCTTAAAACGTGGGAGGACTTGGAATGGTGATGCCAGGAGTGCAGAAGGAAATAGAAGGCAGGGACCCTCAGAAGTGCAGAGGGCAGTGAGTGCAGGGACTCCCTTTCAGTTTAGAGAAAACTTGCCAGGTGATTAGTTACACACAGCAGCAAGCAGCAGGAGCTATGGCAGATGTAATGCCCACCATGAAATTCTTGTTAAATCTTGAAACTGTTAGCTTTGAAAAAGCCTCTCAGGCTTACCATCTGCAGTGTGTCGGGGGCATCTTGAGAAGGTCATAACATGATGCACCCTGCTGGGCACGCACTGTCCCTGCAGCAGGCACTCAGCCGCTCAGGGCGTGACCCTCAGTGACTGTCTGTGGCCCTGCGTGCCCATTGCCATAGTCCCAGTGGGGCTCAGCGTGGCCCTTCTCCAGCACCCTGTCCTCCCCCAGCTTTGCTCCTGTGGACTCACCCTACTGAGGGCCTCCTTCAGGATGGCTCAGGACTAGGCACCTCCTCCCCCATTGTGTGCCCCGGCAGTGTCACACCCTCGCTGAGCCCCAGGTTCCTCCACCCTGAGGAGGAGAGGAATCTCATGTAGATGGTGATGTGGCGTTGTCGCGCATCTCCTCGTGGTAAGCACTCAATACAGACCCCACAGTTACCCTGAGGGCAGAGGCGGGCTTGTCCTGCAGCCCTGAGCTCAGCACCCCACACTGCACAGTCAGGTAACCACAGGTAAACAGCGATAATCCAGGAGAATTTGTATTTTTTTATTTTAGAACAAACTCACGATGTTGGACATTGCATCAAATAGAATCAAAAAGATTGAAAATATCAGCCATCTAACAGAGCTGCAGGAGTTCTGGGTAAGTTTCATACCTCGGGATCAGTACTGCTTTAGCTGAACAGGTCCTGTTGACACAAGGCCTCTGATTTTGTGAGCCGTGGTGCCGCGTGACAAGCTTTGTCACGTGGAGGAGGTTTGAGTGCTCAAGGGTCGTCAGGGTGTTTCTGTGCCCTTGCTTCTATGTGCAAGCCGCACGGCAGTACCTGCCAAACAGCACTGGTCAGAATCACATTCACCACTGCGCTGGAGCAGACTCAGATGACCGTGTGGAAGGCCCAGTCTGTGTGTGGTTCGGCCCTGGAACTGCCACTTGACTAAGAGAAGGGGTGCACGCACTCGCACAGCTACACCCCAGCACCATGGAGGGCGCTTGTGCTTTCTGTGGCATGGCGTCCAGGAATCTGCCTCGTGCTCATCCCGCAGTTGTGATGTGGCTCTGGGAGCGGCACCACAGGGCTGGCGGCAGGAGAGTCGGGGTGGAGAAGAGGCCGTGGTGGTGGGGTGCGACTCGGGTGTGTGGTGCTCACGCGCCCCCAGGGAGGGTCTTTGCATCTGCTGTGCGGGGCTGGGAACAGCCGCTGAGTCCTCCGTACTGAGGTTCTGCCGGGGAGCCTCACTCCCTCAAGCACACGGCGCGGCAGCGACTACGGCACTCAGCAGCCTCATGCTGAACACCAACCTCAGGCTCATCCAGCTGACCCGGAAGTCACACTGAGTCCATGCTTGTCCAGTTCCCTGGGACATAGGCGACCTGCTCTGAAAGTGTCCCTTTCCCTCACTGGGCACCCTGGTTACAGGCTCGTGTCAGGTGACATGGTAGGTCTGAGCAGACCAGGGACAGTGACAGGTGGCAGAGGCACCAGGCAGGGAGACGGGCTCTGTGAGTCAGGAGGGCAATTAGCAGTTGGCTGCAGGGAAGCCAGGAAGGACACTGAGGAGCCAGGCAGCAGGGAAGCGGGGTCCAGAGACAGGGCCAGATGCACTGTCATTGCATCGGTCACCGCTTAAAGAAACCTAAAAGCACAAAAACTGTTACCTTACCATTAATAGCATTCTCCATTTGTCTTCATAAATCTGAGTTTCCACTTGGTATTTCCTTTCCACTCAAAGAATTTTAATGTTTTTTTGTCATGCAGTGTCCTGTAAACCAGTTCTTCAGCTCTGAGTTGTCTGAAAAAACATCTCCGTTTTCCTTTCATTTTTGAAGGATGCTATGGTGGCTGTACAATGCCGTGTGGGCAGTTTGTGAGAGCCCTTGAGCAGTGTCTCTCCGTTGTCCTCCGGTTTGCCCGTTTCTGTTGAGAAGTCTGCAGTCATTCCTATTTGTATAACTTGCTTTTCTCCTCTGGCTGCTTTTGAAATGTTCTTCTTAATAAACTTTGATTTGGTTTGGTTTTTGAAACTTGAATAGAATATGCCACAATGTGGTTTGTCTTCTTACATATGGAGAGTTTGTTGAGTGCTTTGTGCATTTATAGGTTTAATCAATATGGAAAACTTCCATGGATTACTTCCTCTAAACTTGTTCCAGCCCCTCCTGCTCCCGCCTGTGCCCCGCTGCCTCCCCAACACTCTGTTCTCAGTGGTCCCCATCCCGCATTCCTGTGTCTGTCACTGCTTCCTTCCTTCAGTGCTCGGCTGCCCCGTGCTGCCCGTCCTTGTCCTTGGCTCTAGCAGTGCCCTTCAGCAGAGTCAGGCTGGCCGCCATCCTCCCCCACCTGTTATGAGCCCTCTCCAGTCAGGCCCGCCTCCTCAGCCACCAGGGGACCTCCCAGCAAGTCCGCCCATGCCCGGCCATCTTCCAGTGCTGCAAGTGTCACTTCACGTGCACACATGCGGACCCAGGGCCCTTCTGTCCCTCTCTTACTCCCACTTCTCAGCAGACAGGTTTGATTGCTCTGTCCTCACTTTGGCTCCAGGAGAAAAACAGAAGCAGCATGGGTAGATAGATGGTATAGCTAGGTGATAGGCTGGTTGCTTGATAGATGAGAGGTAGGTAGTAGGTGATGGATGGTAGATGATTATAGATTGGTTGGTTGTTAGAGGATAGTTGGATGTTTGGATGGGTTGTTCGGTGGTAGAGATGAATGGATGGACGGATGGACGGACGGACTGCCATCTGGCAGACAAGTGATAGATGGGTGGATAGATGATAGATGCTAGCTGTACTAGGTAAGGTCGGTCGACCTTAGGTGAGCATGTGGCTAAGAGCTGGGTGGCTGCTGCCCGTGTGCCACAGTCCTCCAAGCCAGCAAGCATGTCACGTCACCTTCACCCGGAGCTCTAGGCTATCACTGCAGCCGCTAATCCCAGCATAGGGTCTGCGTGTGCCTACTGGACAGTGTGGACCACGTGGTCCTTCTGCGTGGCCTGGGCTGTGCGCCTGCCACTCTGACTCTGCACCCCCTTGCTGGGGCACATACCTGTACAGGTGCCACACACCTGTAATCTTAGCACTCTGGGAGGCTAAGCAGGAGGGGCACAAGTTCCAGCCTAGGCTGGGTAAATTAGCAAGACCCAGTCTCAAAAATAGAAATGGGCTAGGAATGGAGCTTAGTGCAAAGGCCCTGGGTTCAACCCCAGTACCACAGAAAACAAGACACCACCCCTCCGCACGCTTGTGTCCTCATGCCTGGTGTCGCAGCAAGAAGTAGCCTTGGAAGTGGGGTGTCCTCAGGAGCCAGCTGTAGTGGCTCACAGGAGCTATGGGTTTAGGGGCAGCTCTGACCTGTGTGTCATTCAGTGCATAGTCCCAGCCTTGGAAACAGTGCTGAGCTGGTTTGTAGGATCTGGGTCCCTGTGCCTGTGGGAGGGATGCTTCCCAGCCCAGTTCCAGTATGAAGAAGCCATTCTACCCAGCTGCTGCTGAGACGCGGCCGGGAGGGACAGCAGGCAGCGGGAGGTCTGGGGGTAAGGGAGACCCCCAGTGACCAGCACCTTGGAGTCAGGTCCTGGCAGGACATGGTGGGGGTCAGAGCTGCCCTCTCATGGCTCCTCTCTGCCCCCAGATGAATGACAACCTCCTCGAGAGCTGGAGCGACCTGGACGAGCTGAAGGGCGCCCGCAACCTGGAGACTGTGTACCTGGAGCGCAATCCCCTGCAGAAGGACCCGCAGTACCGGCGGAAAGTCATGCTGGCCCTGCCGTCTGTGCGGCAGATCGACGCCACCTTCGTCAGGTTCTGAGTCTGCACGGCTCCTCACCTGGTCCCTCTCCTCACAAGACTTCCCGGCCACAGTTTTTTAATCTACCTGTTGCTCCTGACGTCGTCACTCAACAGTCACAACCCACGGCAATAAAAGGCACTGATGGTAGCTAGCATGTGTGATGCCCTTGCCATCGGGGCGCCTGCCGTCAGGGGCACCAGTGCCGTTAGCCCTTGCCACATGGTCCCTGGCGAGTGGCAGGCGGACACTGCGGCTATGGGGAGCACACGCCTCATGTGGCCAGCTGTGCCCTTGTCTCAGAGGTCATGGAGCCCCAGTGTCAGTAACACGTGTCTGGGCATCTGGCCTTCAGGACCATGGCGGGGAGGGTGCAGATCCTAGCAGGGCTGAAGGTCCTGGGGTGCAGGTGTGAGCAGTCCTGACCTGCAGCTGCCACGCTGTTTAGTCTTTCAGACTAATCAGTGCCAATTCTGAAAAAGTAATATACATTAAAAAAAATTATATGCGTTAAAAACAAAATCCAGGGTGGGGGTGGGGTCAACACGCTCCCTCACCCTGAGCAGTGAGGAGCAGCAGCGCCTGCTCCCCCTCAGCCTGGGGCAAGGCCGCGTCCAGCGTTGACCTCGCTCTCCAGAGAGCAGAGCTCTTGGGCTGCACCGCTCCCATGCCATCAGGCTGGCACCTAGGACGCACCAGGGTCTGTATTTAGCACACAGGCCGTGAATGTCCCTGGGCCTCAGATTCCCCGCAAGTCATGTGGCCACCAAAGTCCCTTCTGCTTCCGGAAGTCCAGAGCTGTACTGACAAGCATGGGGCCTTCATTGCCACCCTTGGCAATTTGAGGTCAAATTCGAGGCCACTGAAATCCAGCTTGATGTCAGCACCTCCACCGCCCTCTGCACTGCAAGCACTCAGCAGGTCGCCCGTCCCCTTGCCACGGAAGGACCCGCACACCACCTGAGCCCACTCGGGGTCTCTGGACAGGGTCCTGGGTCTGTGCAGACTCTGTGGCCACCACCACAGGCCTGGGATTGAATGTCCACTCCTGGTTCCAGCCCTCTCAAAACAGACTGACATAGAAGTGGGAGGATGTGCTGTGCCCAGCCTTGGGTTGGGCCCTGCACCACACCTGCAGCCACATGGGTTGGTCTGGGGACCAGGGCAGAGGGTGCTTGCCGTGCAGGACTGAGCCCAGGTGCTCTTGCGGAGGCTGGCGGGAGAGAGGGCACAGACAGCAGCCACTGGAGCACCGGGTGGCCCCAGCCCAAAGCCTCCCTGGACTCAGCGTGGCAGCGGAAGAGGAGCTCCTGCTGTAAACAAAACAGGAGGGGAAGGAGCCCCTCAGAGCAGCCCAGCAAGGCTGGATGAGGTGTGCCTGTGGGCCCCACCCCTCTGGAGGCCGAGGCAAGAGCTTCTCCTGAGCCCAGGAGGTCCTGGCCGCAGGTGCTTGGCTGCAGCAGGGAATAGCTCTGCAGTCTCTCACCTGGCAACCTCAGGTTCGGGCAGGCACAGTGTGAGCTGCAGCTGCGCTGAGTTAGAAGGGCCGAGTCGTGAGTCACTCGAGCTCTGGGCGCTGAGCACTGGCCAGCGCCAGGGCAGTGAGGACGGCATTTCCTGAAGATTCTGAGCGAGTGGCAAGTGTCCTCTGACGCCTCTTCTGTCCTGCTGGCATTCTGACCAAAACAGAAAAACATCTTTGGTGATGTTAGTAGAATGAAGAAATAAAGACCAGATAATTAGAACACACAAAATGGATATTAAATAAGATATATGGAAATTGGCAATATGTTTGTCTGTCTTTTTGAGACAGGGTCTCACTATGCAGTTCAGGCTGGTCTTGAGCTCACTTTGTAGCCCAGGCTGGTCTCAAACTTCCAACGATACTCCTGCCTCAGCCTCCTGAGTGCTGGTATTACAGGCCTGTGCCACCATGCTTAGCTGGTAGTATGTTTTAACCTACAAAAATTCCACTTTTGTGTAGTTCAGACTAAGTCTAGCAAGTTTGTTAGATAAAAGGTAAATTTAAAAGTGGGAAGAAAGATACAGATAACCATAGAAATGAGAGTACTTTTTTAAAAAATTGTAGGAAAACCTTATCTAAAATTTAAATGCAATGACAGTTTTCTAAGAAAAGAAAAATTATCTCTAATTGAGTTAAAATTCTGAAAAGACTAATAATTAAGGAAGAATTAGAAAAAGACATCAAAGAATGACTCCCTCAAAGAGGTCTGGATCCCAGAAGCAACTGATATGAATAGCATTTAAGAAACGGGTAGAAATGTCTGAATTCATGTTACAAATTAGGGAATAGCCCTGTTAAAAATCTTGACAAAAATAGAGGGACAGCAAGACCCAGTCTCTAATTAAGAATAGAATAAAAAAATAGAATAAAATAGAATAAAAAAATAGAATAAAAATTTAAAAATCTGCTTTTAGGGATATAAATACAAAAATCTTAAATAAAAGACTTAATTAGAACCGCGTGTGGTGGCGCACACCTGTAATCTCAGCACTTGGGAGGCTGAGGTTGGAGGATGGTTGCAAGTTCGAGACCAGCCTGGGCTACAAAGTGAGCTCAAGGCCTGCCTGGGCCGCATAGCGAGACCATCTCAAAAAGACCAAAAATAAAAAATAAGAAAATGTTAAAAAAAAAAGACTTAATTAGGGGCTAGGGATATAGCTCAGTGGCATAAGTGCCTGGCTGGCAAATGCAAGGTCGTGAGTTTGATCCCCAGTACCGCAAAAAAAAAAAAAAAAAAGACTTAATTGAAGACGACTGCTTCTTCTAGGAAGCTTTTATCTCAGAAGCTCAAGGATGGCTCAAGAGGATATGAGGTTCATAAAAGTCACTGTTTAATGAAGTAAAGTTTAAGAGCTGGGGATGTAGCTTGGGCACAAGCGCCTGCCTGGCAAGCACAAGGTCCTGAATTCGATTCCTGGTACAAAAAAAAAAAATGAACTAATGAAGTAAAGTTTAAAAACCTTGGACTAACTAACATCATAGTCTTTAATAAGATACATATTCCTGGCTTGGGTAAGTTATTTCTTCCTTAGTAAAATAAAGTCTGTACAAAAATCACTGACTGTGAGGCTTACATGGAAGATGGAAGATGAAATAAAAGTAGCAATTTATTTTTTAAAAAAATAGGGATTAGGGGCTGTGGAGGGGGATCTCACCTGCCGTGTGGGAGGCTCTTGCTACCAGCTCAGCACAGCAGGAAGAATCCACACGGCAGGAGCCCTCCCATCAGCTGCAGGGCATAGCTTCAGGGGTGTTGCAGTGTGAAGAGTAATAGAATCTGAAAATCAGCGAGCTACTGTACTTAGGGCGCGTGACACTGCCACTACAAAACAGTTGAGGAAACAGGAAAAGCTCAGAAATCAAACAAGAACGTCCTGTGTGGTAGAAGGGTCAGCAGATGGAACCCTAAACAAGACAGCTGTAAAACGTGAGCCCTTGGTGAAGACTAACTGCCTGAGGAAGATTTCCAGTCATGAGATGTGAACCCGAAGCCAGAAGGAGAAGAAATGGGAAAAAACCTTGGCTGCCTGGTGTAGTCGCCCCCACTGAGAGACACGGAGAGGCCAGCCACCATGAGCCGCATGAGGAAGGCGATTGCTGTGGAAGGCCTTCACATTTCAGCACGGGGGTCCCCGCCAAGCCATGAGAAACAAGCGTTCACCCCACCAGCAAACGGAATCCACTAAGTGCTGGTTAAGCCTTCCAGTGGCTTGGGGAAGTAAATGCGGAAATCTTAAATAAAAGACTAGTACATTAAAGACCACGGCTTCTTGACCAAGAAGGTTTTGTGTCAGGAATGCAAGGATAGGGTCTATAACCCCAAAGCCATGGAGGCCCAAGGAAATCAGCCCATCCACCATGGCCGCAGGAGCTCAGCCAGCCTCCTGGGCTGGGGTTTCTGCCCCGTGTCAAGGGCTCGGGTCCTTTTACTAACCCCGCTTCTTGGACATTCTTCCTGTAGCAATAAGCAGAGACAGATATGCCGGGCCATTGCTTACGTTGCCCTCAGAAATGGGGCCAGCTTGCTGTGTGATCAACAGAGTAAAGGTCTCAAATAGGCCCAGATCTTCCCGGCTTCTTGGGAGGCTGAGGCAGGAGGGTCACTGTTTGAAGCCAGCCTGGGCTATACAGCAAGACCTTGTCTCAAAAAATTGGGGGGAGTGCTAGGTGGTGGAGAGCCCTGGGCTCAGTCCCCGGTTCTGCCAAGAAAACAAGTCAGATCCTAGTGTCTGGGTCCCGCTACCTGACAACAGCAGGGCTTCCCAACTGGCTCTGAGTGTAAAGTGTGGAGACTGAGGTGGTCCCAGACACCTGGCAGTCAGATGGGTAGAGAGGCGCTGAGCAGGAATGGACACTTCTGGAAGTGGGGAGAGGAGCCCCTCCTGTCCCAGAAGCCAGCACAGCCGGGGGCTGCACGCTAACCTGAAGCTCCCAGCCCACGCGAGGGATCCGCTCGCAGTGGAGCAGGCGGAAGCTGTGCTGGTTTCTCACAGCAGTGACAGGAACCGCCTTCATCTCCCCAGCAGAGACGCTGTAACCCAGCAGAACCTGGGGCCGTGTCCTTCCAAGCCTGGCTGTGCGGCACCAAGTGGCTTCCAGGAGGACGTGGGTGGGAGCCATGAACACCTTCCCTTCCCTTCCCAGCCAGATGGCAGAGGTCTACCCACCGTGTCCCCTGCAAGGCCCTTGCCCTTAACCTTGTCCTCACAGCCTTCCCCGTGGGAGCCCAGACCCACACACTTCCATCCACTTCCGCTCAGCCGGCTGTGACCAGGATTTGTATGCGGAAAGCCGGGGGCCCTCACAGAAGCATCCTGGGAAGGCCGGAGCAAAGCCCCTTGCATAGGGCCCTGCCTGCTGGCCCAGTGGAAACCACAGGACAAGCTGACCATGCCTGACCTCTCAGCAAAGCCCATGGGCATGTGGGGTGCAGAGCAACAGAGTGGAGGCTGCTCCTGCACCCATCACTCAAGTCTTGGGGTGAGGATCTCCACAGGGGTCCCGAGGGTCCAGGTTCTGCCACCCATCCCAAGGTGTCCCCTGGGGGACAGGCAGCAGTGCGGGCAGAAAGGGGCTTGGCTTGAATGGGTACAGCGGGGTAGGTAGACAGCCAGGTCCTCAGCTC